ACCCCCCCTCCCCTCCCTTCCCTATCCCCCAGGCGGTTACCCAGTGGCTCTGTGTGCTGGGGTCGCTGGGTGGAGGCAACCTGGCCCCAGTGGTGGTGGAAGAGAAGGTGGATGTGGGGGTGCAGCTGGGGTGCCCAGGAGAATGGGAGGACCCATACCTGGGGAGTCTTCAGCTGCAGAGCATCCGCATGACCCCCAGCACTGCTCCCATCTCTTCCTCTAGGGACTGACGAGCAGGCTATCATCGACTGCCTAGGGAGTCGTTCCAACAAGCAGCGGCAGCAGATCCTTCTGTCCTTCAAGACAGCTTATGGGAAGGTGAGAGAGAGAGAGAGTGTGTGTGTATGTATATGCGTGTGTATGTATATATGTGCTTGTAGGAAGGGTATACAGGGAGGCCCGATTCTTCCTGAATCGAGGCATATCCTCCAAGAGCCCTACTCACCCCTGCTTTTCCTTGGGGCAAAGTGGGCCTACATCTCCTGGATAGGCAGAATAGGCTGCTGCCGTTCCGCCAGTGACCTCTCGGCTGATGACATCTTCTAGGGGTGGAGGATGCTCTGAGGGAGAAATCCCAGAGTTCTTAGAGTAGTGAGGTTTGCTGAGAGGAGCCCAGCAATCTGGGTTACCGCCCTGGCTCCGCCACGGCTCACCAGGACCCTGGGTAAGTCATTTCTCCTCCACTCCCACCTGACCTGTGTCGCCTCCTGGGAACACTGGTTGCTGTCCCGCCCTCTGCACAGCCACTCTGGGAGGCTTAGCTGGTAGAAGGGCTTTGAAGGAAAAGGCTTGGAGTACTGAACTCCAAGGGGAGCATATTTTGAACTTTTGGGCTTTTGAATCTTAGAAAGGTAAAAACTGGGTAAATATTGAATAGGCTAGTTTCTAGGCCTGTGCTTCTCCAACATTAATGGCCACGGACGCCCTGGGGGTCAGGTTCAAATGCAAACTCTGAGTCTGCAAGTCTGGGCTGAGGCCCAGATATGGCTTTTCTGCTGATGCTCCCAGTCCTCAGACCTGGGATATTGTCCGTTAGTCACCTTCTGTGGAGTCTCAAAATAGCTTTTTTTGGTGTCTTTGAATATCCAATCAGGATTTGATCAAAGATCTGAAATCTGAACTGTCAGGAAACTTTGAGAAGACAATCTTGGCTATGATGAAGACCCCAGTCCTCTTTGACGTTTATGAGATAAAGGAAGCCATCAAGGTTTGTATGTGAGTGTGTGTGTGTGTGTGTGTGTGTGTGTGTGTGTGTGTGTGTGTGTTTACATGTGTGGACATACAGCCCAAGGGAAGGCCTGGACCGTGTGGTGTGTCTTAGCTCACTCACTAGCTACTGTTGTCACTGCAGCCCTAGGACCCTCTCAGGCTGGAGTCCAAGTGCTGTAGAAAGGGGGACTTTTGGTGACTTTACCAAGAGGCAAATGAGGTGTCATTCATTGTCAGGCAACATCTAAGTGTTTCTCCATTTTAAAAATGCAGTGGGAGCTGGGGTTGTAGAGGAAGCTAGTGGTACAGTGATAAGGACGGGGGTGTAAGGATGGGTGGGGTCATCCTCATTCATTAGGACTCCATGCAAATAACAGAAACACCCTTGGGGACTTGAAGCAGAACAAAGTGGACAATCGGCTATGAGGCTAGAGAAGAGTAGCCTGTCAGAGACTAAGCCACAGAAGAGGCCAGCTGCCCCAAATGGGGCAGGTTCTGAGTGGCTTAGTTTGGTTCACTATCTCCCGCCACCCAGTCCCCCAGTTATGACCAAGCGGAGCGTCCTCTACATTCCATACACTCCTGTGGCTCCCAAGACCCATAGCATCTATCCTGTGGATGGGGAGGGGCAGCACCCACAGAAGGGGAAGCCTTGTGCATCAAGCAGGTGCTGCAGAAGGAATCTAACATTCCTCAGAGGCCTGACAGACACGATGGCTTTCCCTGCCCGCAGGAGGAGAGGCAGAGAATTCAGTGTGGGAGGGAGATAGGACTCCACTGAAACATCCTACGTGCTTCTACAGAGGGGGTCAGGAGGCAGTTGGAAGTGGCCCCCAGACCTCTGCCCAGCCCCCACTGCCAGCCATTCACGGGGTGGTGGTGGTTGTGGGGTGCTGGAAACAGCACAGGTTTGAGGTCAGCTGTCACTGACTAGCTGTGTGCCCTCGAGCATGTGTAAAACGGGAATGTGGCTGTTCTCGTGTGACGTGTGGTGAGCACTGAGCCAGGAGGCTCACGGAAGCGCTTTGTCAACTTAATCATAAACTAGCCAACTCTGTTGTGCTTCCTGTGTGACGGGCACTATTCTAAGTGCCTAAGTGCTTTATTTACTTAACTCATTCAATCCTTGCAACTTCCCTATGAGATAGGTACTAGTATCACTTCCACTTTATGGACAAGGAATCTGAGGCACAGGGAGGTTAAATAACGTGCCAGAGTCAAACAGCTAATCAGAAGCAGAGCCGAACTTCAGATCAACATAGAAACCAGGCTGGTGACCTTGTCCCCGCCTTCTCACTGTCCCTGATGTGATCCTTCACCCTTGTTGTTGCTGCCTTTTCTGAGATGTCTCCAGAGGCTCCATGTTCCAGTCTTAAGACTCGTTTTTCCACATGTCCACTCTTGCTTTAAACCCATTTTCTCAGTTGTTTCTCATCTCATTCATGGGCTGAACTTGGAATAATACAGTTCTGGGTCCATGTTTCAACCCACTGCAAATCACTGTACCTCTCTGGTTTTCAGTTTCCTGGCAGGTAGAATGGGAATGATCCTTCCTGTGATTCTACTCATCACCATGTCACTGTCCTTATCTGGTACTTTCCTGGGGCTGTGGAGGGGAGCTTGGCTGCTCTCAGCAGCAGCAGCACCAGGGGCGTGTCTCTGAGTGGCTTCTGTTGCTAAGCTTAGTACCCTGGGGAGCAGGGCGATGGGTTGAAACGTGTTCTCTTTCCTGGGTGCCAGCATGGGCTCTGTGACAAGCCTGTGGTTTCTTGTGTCCCCACAGGGAGCTGGCACCGATGAAGCCTGCCTGATTGAGATTTTTGCCTCCCGTAGCAACGAACACATCCGGGACTTGAGCAGAGCTTACAAAACAGGTTAGGCTGGCCTGCAGGCCCTCTGCCCTCTGCAGATGCCTGTGTATTCAGGGCCCTGGCCACACCCTCTCCCAGGGCCTCTATTCCTTCCTGACATTCTTACCACCTCATCTTCTGCCCCAACTAGCACATGGGGCTTTGTTCCAAGACCCAACCCTGCCTCTGTTTGCACACAGGTCAGGATAAGGTAAGGGAGGGCTGGGGAAAACCTTTTGGGTGTGGTTTGGGCCAAAGCCTGACCAGAGGCCAGATTAACCTGAAGATCACAGCCCCTCCTGAATCTCTAATTATGTGTCCCTGGAGAGCCCTGTGGGTCACACTGCTGACTGTGTCTGCAGTGGGCAGCTTTGTCTATGGGACTACAAGGTGGGCATTCACTGTGTTCCCCAGAATTCAAAAAGACCCTGGAGGAGGCCATTCGAAGCGACACGTCAGGGCACTTCCAGCGGCTCCTCATCTCTCTCTCCCAGGTACCTTTCCCGTGGCACAGCTCAGAGCTCAGGGCTGGAGGGGGTGGGGGATGGGTGGGGATCTCTGAGCAAGGAGGAAGAGGAGGACGGGGAGAGGGTGGTGCAGCTCCAGGGAGTGACCTTGACCACACCACCTGCCTCCTTTCAGGGAAACAGGGATGAAAGCACAAATGTGGACATGTCGCTCGTCCAGAGAGATGTCCAGGTGAGTGTGATGGCCAGATCAGGCCCCCAGCCTGGGCTTCCTAAGCCAGGAGAGGGACGGGATAGAGGGCACTTTCCTTGCTTCCCGAGGGAGGAGCTGGGTTCTAGATGCTGTGGCTTTCAGACAATCTCTGCTGCTTATCAACTGTGTGGCCTCGAGCACGTCACCCGGCCTCTCTGGGCTTCAGTTTCCCCACCTGGCAGAGGGAACATATGACATAGTAAGTATCACAGCAGTTGGTAGATCACAGTTATGGATGTGGGACTTCACGTGACTTGGTACTTCCCTGTTTGGTTGCATATTCCATTATGTTTGCAAATGGGAAGAATTCATTCTTGTCTGGGAAGCTTTTGAAGGTTTGAACCTAGAAACCAGTCATCACATGAGTTATGCAGCCTTAGAATTCTGCCTCATATCCCCAGCCCTTGTGTGACCTTCAGAAAAAGGGGGAAAGTCACCATTTCTTCTCTTTGTCCAGGCATCTGAGTACCTCTCTAGAGGAGTCTGGGTTTCCCGCTAATGAATTCAAACCAAAGCAGTTCTGGCTGGAGAGAGCCCTGGCCTCCTGGTGGGTGGAGCCGGCCATGCCTCTCCTTCACTGTTCCTGCCACTGCCAGCAGCGTGTTCCCCAGGAAATACCCGTGGTCTCCTTATCTCGCCTGTCGGTCAGGTTGAAGAGGACCTCTGTGAAGTGCCCTCATGTTAGGACTAAAAGAGAGCCACTCTTATGGTCTGGTCCGTTTGCTTTCCAGGTGGCAAAACGGGGACTCAGAAAGGTTCAGCACTGTGCCCTGAGAAACCTGGAGGCAGAGCTCAGACTCCTGGCTTCGTTCTCTGTGCAGGCAGCACACAGACCCCCTGGTCCCAGACACCCTCCTGCAGGGTCAGCCTGAACCTGGATGGATGTCTTGAGACATCCATTCTCATTTCCAGACTCGGGGTTGGACACCCTCAAAGCTCTTGGGCCCTGGCTCTGGCCCCACTGGGAATTTTCCTGTTCCTATTTCCCATCTAGGCCATTCCCCAGCTGAGGCAGAAGGTGCCTCCATTTCAAGGTCTTGTATCTGCTGCTCTGCCTTCTTAGCTCTGGACCTGCTCCTGTCTTACCTTGACAGTGGGGTCTCTGAGCTCCTGATGGCCACCCTCTTCCCCTGCATATCAGTGCCTTTAGATCCAAGAGCTGCTACCTGAGGCTGGAAGGCACTTTCAAGCCACCTGGTGCAGGGGTTGCAGATTGGCAAATATTTTGCAGGCTCACACTTTCAAAAGCTTAACAGGCAAGTGCAAATTCTGCCCGTTTGCAAACATAATGGCGTATGCAACCAAACAACTGGGAAAGTGCCTATCACATGAAACCCCACATCGGTAACTGATTTACAAATTGTTGTAATATTTATTGTCTCACATGTTTCGTCTTACAGATAGGGAAGCTGCTTTTATAGATTGGGAAACTTGACATAGAAATCAGAATTTCTGGCTTCTCATGAGACATGGCTCTGGCAGCTGTGAGCCTGCGTTCCTCTGTCATTGTACTCGGCTTGTGCTGAGAAGTAACCGCCCCTCTCTGTGTTAGCTTTGGTCCCCACCCCTCTCTGGCCTTACAACTGTCCTGTTTCCTTGGGTTACCCAGCTGTCCCCTTTGGGCTTTCAGGTTTGTGACCCCGAATCGACTCTAACCTTTACATGGTAGAGGTGACGAAATGAGGCTCACAGAGAGCCAGTGGCGTCTCGAGTCCCATGGCAAGTTGGTCACAGAGTTAGGACTCAAGCTCAGGCCTCTCATTCCTTCCTTTCCTTTGGGCTCCTGCTCCGCTCCCTTGGACGGGTGAAAGCTGTTCCTTGCCCACCCCGGGCCTCAGCTCTCTGGTCCTGAGTTCTCCCCAGCCTTGGAATCCTGTGTTGCGGAGAGAGAGTTGCGTGGATGATGGTGTCTAGTTCTGCACAGTGAATGAAGCACAGCTGAAGCTCTGCTCCCATTCCCTTCCCCTCAGGGCCTGCGGGGCCCTGAGGTCATAGGTGACCTGGGCCTGGCATCTGGGGTGAGGCCTCCTGGGGTGAGACCTGCATTGCATATCCGCCTTCCCCTCTGTGTGTGCAGGAGCTGTACGCAGCTGGGGAGAACCGCCTGGGAACAGATGAGTCCAAGTTCAATGCAGTCCTGTGCTCCCGGAGCCGGGCCCACCTGGTGGCAGGTAAGGCAGTCCCAGGCTTCCCTGGGGCCAGGTAATGAGGGAAGACAAGATACTCTGGGGAAGCAGAGATTGTAGGAACATTTGGCAGCTCCTCTCTGCATGGGGCTTTCACTTCCTTCAAAGAGCCTCCTTGTGGTGACTTAAAATATTATCAACGGGTTTCCTGAGTTTCTGCAAGCATCCAGCAAAGGGAGAGGTGAGGAAATGGCCGCCTCCTGTTGGCTGGTATTTTTATATGCTAAAATGTGGGATATTAGACTTGTGAGAACCCTCAAGAGCACCTAATTCAATGTTTTCCGGAGTGTGATATAAAAAAAACCAAAACCCTAATTGATAATGCTGAGTAATTTTATTCATTCATTCAAAATATATACATTGGGCTCCTGCATGTGCCGGGTCGGAGCAGGTGTGGGAAGCAGTGGGGAGCAGCACTGCACAATCTCGGTTCTGACGGGGCTCACCTTCTTGTTCAGGGAGACAGGCAGTAAACAAAAATGAACTAAAATCCGCACCAGATGGCAAGTCATTTAGAGAAAAATAACAGAAGCAGGGCGTGATGAGGCTGGGGCGGTGCTGGGGGCAGTACTCACATGAAGTTAAAGACATGAAGGAGTTGCAGGTGCAGAGGCCCTGAGCGGGGGCTCCCATGGCAACCGAGAAGCAATTAAAGGGCATCGGTGAAGCTGGAGCAGGTGGAGTGAGTGAGAGAAGTCAGGTTAGACATGGCAGGAGGCCCTGCTGGCAACTGCGTGGGCCTAATTAGGTTTTTATCCTGAGTAGAACAGGAAGCCATCAAGGGGTCTGAGTGGAGGAGGGATGTGATTTGACTAAGGTTTTGCAAGTTCACTCGCTGTTGAAAAGAGTGAAGGGGTTGATGGCAGAGCAGGACACCCATTAGGCGGCTGCTGCAGTATGCAGAGGAGAAGTGGTGGCTTCGACCGGGGGGCAGGGGCAGGTGGGAAGAACAGGTGAGATTTTGGCTTTGATTGCTGATGAATTGGACGTGGAGTGTAAGAGAAAGAAAGCCGTCAAGGATATGACGCAAGCATTTCTTCTGGCTGAGCCAGTGGAAGAATGAGATTGGAAAGCTATGGACAGAGCAGGCTTTAGGAGGAAGTAACTGGGAGCCTTGGGCTAGAGATACCAGGTAGGCAAGTGGGTTTCTGAGTCTGGAGGTCAGGAGAGGTCTGGGCTAGAGATGGAAATTTGGAAGCTATGAATGGTTCGAAGGTGTTTGAGGCTCTGGGACTGCAAGAGCGCTGTAATAGAGCATGCGTGAACGTATTTTCACCTGAGCCATTATTTATTTTAATGAGTATAGAACATATAAGGAGCACCTCAAACCCTGGTTTCACAAACATTATTACTTAAGAGAATAGAGGAGCTGACCTGAAGTTGAGTAATGAAATGGATACAGGTATAGCAAAAATCACAACACTGATAAGCAAATGACAGAAGTGTGGAGAACAGTGATTGGAACTGAGACCCAGGATGGGAGGGCAGGTCAGAGCTACAGTTAGGACCCAGGGCTCCATAGTGCCACCTGCATCCCTGGGTACCTACAGGCACTTCCAATGGGTGCTCTGCTCATCTCGTGTTAGCTGGGAGGCCGGAGGGGTGTTAGCTCAGTTAGATTGAGAAAGACAAGACTTGACACATGGAACAACGGGGAAGGAATGGTGTGGACTTGAAGTGCAGAGATTCGAGAAGCGAGGGATCACTGTTTGTGTGGATGGGGGATGAGGCATGATTTGGGTAAGCAGTCTGGTGAGGGCAGTCCTGGTAAGAGGACCACGTGAGCAGGCACATGACCTGTGGGGTGAAGAACCTGGCCGACCTGAGAGCATGGGGCTGTCCAGGTGCCAGGAGCAGAGCAGGAGAAGTGGGCTTGAGAAGGGGCAGAGGCCTCCTCACCATGTGTCCTATGTTAGTTTGCTCTGGCTGCTGTAATAAAATACCACAGACTGGGTGACTTACACAACAGGGATTTATTTTCTCATGGATCTGAAAGCTAGAAGTCCAAGATCAAGGTGTCAGCAGGTTTGGTTGCTTCTGAGGCCTCTCTCTTTGGCTTGCGGATGGCCACCTCCTTGCTGCGTCCTCACATGGTCTTTCCTCTGTGTGTGTGCACATCCCTGGTGTTTCCTTGTGTGTCCAAATTTCTTATAAGGACACCTGTCAGATTGTCTTAGGGCACATGTTAAGGGCCTCATTTTAACTTACCTCTTTAAAGGTAATTAGGTATCTCCAAATTTTGTTACATTCCAAGGTACTGGGGGCTAGGACTTCAACATATGAATTTAGGAGGGAGATAGTTCAGTCCATACATAACATGTCCCTTCTCTCTTCCCACTAGTTTTCAATGAGTATCAGCGAATGACAGGCCGAGACATTGAGAAGAGCATCTGCCGGGAGATGTCCGGGGACCTGGAGCAGGGCATGCTGGCCGTGGGTAGGTGTCTCAGGCCTGCCTTGCCTGCCCGCCTGCCTGCCAGGGCCTGGCGTGCATTGTAAGCTTTCACAGTGCCCATCATCCTCTGGTTGAGGGGCAGTGCACGAAAGAAACACAGGATCCAAGATTGCTAAATCCAGCGTTCCTACATGGTGGGAAGTCATACTGCTTCCCGGATCACCACGTAGTTGTACCCCAGCGGTCCTGGAGGTGTCTTGTTTCTATTTCTTGTTTCTATTTCAAGTGCAGCTCTGGGAGGGGAGCTGCAGTGTGGGTATTAGTGGGAGAGCAACCAACTGCTGAGCTGGAGGAGATGACTCATATCCTACCATGTTTCCTCTAAAAATACATCCCTGCAGGCAGTTGTCAGATGTTTGTGATGGAAACACGTGGTTGCAACAGCAACACATGCCCTTGCTAAAGCAAAGCTGGCCCAGCTCCCAGGACGATGGGGTGCTTCTTGTGGTGCCCATGCCCTGCTCTCTAAAAACGGGCCTGACAGGCTCCAGGTCCCGCCTCATGAGTGGCTCTTTACAGCCACTTGGGAAAATCATGGTTTGCCCATCTTTTGCTTTGCTTTTCTTGGAGCTCTCTGATGGGCCAGATGGTGATGCCCCCTCTATCCCTGCGTGCCCCCACAGTAGGTTTCATGGCCTGAGAGCACTAGGGACACATTCATTCCTCTTGGCCATCCTTTCTCCATGAGGGTCACAGCATCTCCAGTTTGCCCCCTCCCACCTGAGCAGTAACACGGTTCCTCATCACCATCCCGGTTCTTCCTGCAAAGCTCCGTTCACCATGTTGGTTGCCAAGAAGGAGGTTGGATTGGTGTCCAGGCCCTGCGTGTTTCTGTTCCAAAGAGCTGGAGCTAAGACCAGGGATAATTGAGCTTGGAGGAGAAAGGGGAGAGGGAGATGGCTGCAGTGATGGGTTAGAGCTTTGGCTTCTAAGAGGATACTGTGCTTCATGGCCTCTGGACAGACAGTTTCCTACAGATCTAGTTACGCTGTTTCTCTCTTCTAGTGAAATGTCTCAAGAATACCCCTGCCTTCTTTGCTGAAAGACTCAACAAAGCCATGAGGGTACGTGGCTCCCATGTGCAGGGTCTGGGTGGGAGGTGGCTCAGCCCCACCTGTGACTGGGACCAAGGGCTCAGGATAGGAGGCAAGGGGAGAGCCACACCTCAGCCAAGAGGTCAGGAGGCCCACGGGCAGGAGGGGACCAGAGTGTCTGGGGAAAGTGGACGAGAGGAGGCCCCTTGCTCACACCCTTGGTGGACTCTCTTCAGGGAGCAGGAACGAAGGACCGGACCCTGATTCGCATCATGGTGTCTCGCAGTGAGATTGACCTCCTGGACATCAGAATGGAGTATAAGCGGTTGTATGGCAAGTCGCTGTATCACGACATCACGGTACGGGCCTCTGGGGAGAACCGGGCTGCCTCTGGGTCTCCCACTGGCCTGTAGACTGCCCTGGCCACCCCTACTGCCCCCTTCACCTCTCCTTCAGGACTCCCACTGCTTGGCCTCTGTGACTCATGAGCGCCTTGTTTATGGACCTTGTACGTTCTCTCTTCAACTTAAACTTACTCATCCATTTGCGCCCACACCGATTGTAAGCTCCTGAGGGCAGGGCGGGACTTCACCAGCTGTCACCCCCACCCTGGGACCCCAGCCTATCCAGCCCATCTGCTGCTCAGTGAATGGATGGGGGAGGGAGTTCCAAACATTGGTGTCAGAAAACTCAGGACCTTCCCTTCCTGGGTGCCTGGTTTTCAGAGTCCCAGCCACCCTGTGATTCTGTTACTGTCACTGAGACTCATGTCCCAAGGCTCCCTGGAGTGCAGATCAGCTCAGTATGAGTATCCTCTTTTTCTCCGCTTTATTATGGTGGTGGCAGTGAGGGAGGCTATTCACAGCGACGGCTCTCAGGACAGGTCGTGCTGCTGGGACTCCAGATCTGGCTCTTCGCCTTGCTCACTGTGTGATCGCAAGCAGCCTCCTTAACTCCCTGAACCCCAGTTCCATCATCCTTAAGACAGTTATAATAATAGCTCTCTCAGGAGGGATGAGTCTTGAGCAAGGCGGTCCGTGTAAAGCATATTGAGTGACATGTGTTACGTGTCTGACAAGCACCAGCTCCTTCCTTATCACCACGTGCCAGAGCCAGTCTGGCAAAATGTATTCCTGTCCGGGTGGTCTGACGGTTAAATTCTTAACTCACGTGAGCCTTGCAACCAAAGTCAGCATGACCAAGTCCCGATTTCAGACTCACTAGCATTTGATGTTGGGCATGTCACTGAGAGAAGCTAACCTCCATTTCCCTGGCTTATAAAAATGATGCTGTTGGTAGCAGAGAATTAGTCATTAGTCTCAACTCATCTTCTGTCTGCCAGCGGGCAGTGGGCATCTGGAAGTAGCCACAGGCCTTTCCCTCAAGGAAGGAAATGATTAGAGAGAAATTAGCTAAGCATGGCCTGAATTTAGTTTCTGAATTTAGTCCCGTGGGCTCAGACGGAGGAAGAGCAGTGTGAACTGGGACACCCAAATAATAACAGCGCCCTCCACTGGAAGGCCATGTCACACGACATTTCCTGAGTGGGATATCTTGCTGCATTATGGTATAATCTCACCTGAGTACAAATGCACTGGGAAAACACCGTTCATTAGTTAGTCTGGGTAGTGGTTTATTTGACTGTTAAAATTTTTTTGTGTTTATTTTTCAAATTCTGGCTTTGATCATTGGGATGACTGCAGCTTTCTGTTTTTCTTTTCTTTTTTTTATCGGAGAACAGTGTGTTTTTCCAGGACCCACCAGCTCCAAGTCAAGTAGTTGTTTCAGTCTAGTTGTAGAGGGTGCAGCTCCGCAGCCCATGTGGGGATCAAACCGGCAACCTTGGTGTTATGAGCACTGCGTTCTAACCACCTGAGCTAACTGGCCGCCCCAGCTTTCTGTTTTTAAAGGGGAGTTGGGGGGCTTAGACTGCATTGTCCAAGGCCTGTGCCGCCCACGCTGCCCAGTGTTCCTCTCAGCTGCTCTGGGACCTGCCTGGTGGGGCATTTCACTGGGGTGGGGCCTGCCTCTAAGGGCACTTGGGGCAGAAGAAAATGAGGCTAAACTGGCCACACGTCCCTTAACCGATGTACTTGTTTTATGACCAGGGAGACACTTCTGGGGATTACCGGAAGATTCTGCTGAAGATCTGCGGTGGCAATGACTGAGCGGTGGCTGGTGGCCCACTTCTGTCCTGCTGCCAGCAACGATGATGCCAGGAAAAGGCCAAAAGAATGTCTGTCTGTTTCTATCAAACCCACAAAATAGCCTCCGGGTACCCCAGTCCCCATAATCCGTAGAGTCTTGGCCCTGCCCTCCACCTTCCCCTCCCAGTTGTGTATTGAGCTTGTGCCGAGGGGCTTGGGTTGGGCTGGAACTCTCTCAGGATGTCTTTTACACCCCACCCCTCACAGCCCGTTGCTGCTAAAGTAGATGTTTCGTTTCCTGACCCAGGCCATCATTCCCCTTTGTTTGTAGCTGAGACACTCGGCTTCGTTTTAGTCATGTAATTTGATATGTTTATTGGGAGGCATTTTTTTTTTTTTTTACAGTCATTGCCAGACACATGCATACACATCTCTTTGCTGCCACACACATTTTGGTGAGAGAGGTTGGGTGGGGAACACCATGTCCTCACTGAGGAGTAAAAGGGAAGAACTTTAAGAGTAATCTTTGCATCTGGTGAGAATGTGTCATGAGCTTTGTTATTGCCAAATTCACTGCTTTTTAGAAAAGAAAAAAAAAAAAGGCCAGGAAGTCATCTGTTTCTTCTTCCTTGTAAAAATCATGAGCATAAACCCAGCTCCCTGCCAGTGGCAGGGCTTCTTGTACTTGAGAATGTGCCTTAAACCTGAATGTTGATAGCCAAAAGCTTTTTCTAAATTAAAGTCAGCCAGCTCTGGAACATTCTGGAAATGTTTCCCTGGTGCCAGCTTGTTTTCTTCTGCTTCAGGATTCTGCCCTGTAGCCCATGGGTTTCAGCTTTATTAGCCAGTGAAAATGTATATGACTTTAAATAGAAATTTGTGTTCAGGAAACCCTGAGTATAAGTAATTTTCAGAGACCCAGGTTGTAAGGACATGAGAAAGGGACATTTCCGAAATCCATGCTCGGGGCCTAGACACTGATAAGTCGCAGGGATTTGGTCACAGCAGATACTGAAGTCCACTGAGAGCAAGGTAAGAAGGGTGTGGTCCTTCCCCAGGTCCTGAAGGAGAGGCACAGGTAGAAGAATGTGTGCGTGACTCCTGGGGTAGGCCTTGCAGCTGGGCACCAGAGAGGCATGAGATCAGCATCTTCGCTTGGGGACCCTTCAGTCTGAAAGGGTGGTCCTGGCGGGCCCCTTGCCCCTTGGTTGATGGTGTTAGGAGACGGCGATCCAGAAGGGGCAGAGTTTCTAGAAATCCCTGTAATGTCCAGAAGCCCAGAGCTTGCCTTGCCGATGGGGGTCTCCTCCTTTTTGACCTCCTATGTGGGAAGCTTAGAAAGGAGAGAATCCAGAGACTAGTCTGGGAGCTCAACTTCCGGGGCCCTGGCCAGGGGCCCAGGGGCGTCTCGTCCAAGAGTAGACATCTGCTTGGGGACACTGCCTGGCTCCTCACTGCCCCTTGGAAATAGTGAGAAGAGGAGATGACCACGGGACATGGAGCAGCCGTGAGCTGGACGTGAGCTGCTGTGCCCAGTCCTGCCTTCTGCCAGGGAAGGCTGATGGGCCCTGGAATCAGTGGCAAGCTGTACTCATCACTTAAGCTCTGCCTCAGTTTCCATGCCTGGAGCTTCTTGACCAAGACACAGCATGCTTGGTTGAGGCTGTTTCTCCTCCCCTAGGGCCGGCTTCTTGCTCTATGGTGCCAGGTGGGACCTGACTGGTGGGATGGTTTACCTGGCACTGCACAACTTGCCATGAATCCAGGCTGACCTCACTGGCCTCCGGAGTTGCGCCAGGGCCTAAATTCAACCTTT